TTTTAGTACATCAATTTTATTAAAAAAATCTGATGTTTTTTCTCACTTAATTTTAGTAAGTAAGTTTTATTAAATAAACGCTTCTTTTGCTCACTCTACCTATTTGGTTTGAATTGACAGCTATGAAGTCACTATATGGCGCCCATTTGGTCCTATTCTTAGTTGAATCGCATTATACTGTTCCTGATGATTCCGCTGCGTACTATCTTTTTTGTGGTACAGCCTCGTATGGGTGCGAACTATATACCTATCTAGATTCGAACGCCCGAAAGCGGTTTATCGGCATAGTGCGTAATAGTGCACTACGCTTCATCGACAATATTGCGAAAGGCCGAAGTAGTGTCCCTTAATATAGTCTTTGTATGTAAAAGCCCGTATTAATAAATATGCTGACTATCAAAGAAAGTAATTCTAAATAATTAAGAAGATTAAGTAAGTTGTAAAGTGAAGAATGAAAAATACCATTGTAGGCATTTCATTATATTTTATGCAATAATAGGTTTAAATATCCGAAGAACAATTTACTAAGATATCATCATTATCTCTGCCGTACAACACCCACTGCTAAGCATAGGCCTCTCCCAGGATCCCAGGATCTCCACATCGATCGGTCCTGTGCCACGCGCATCCATCGGCTTCCCGCAATCTTCACCAGATCGTCGGTCCACCTGGTGGAGGGTCTTCCTACCGAGCGTCGTCCGATGCGTGGTCACCATTCGAGAATCTTTCCGCTCCAACGACCACCGGTTTTCCTCGCTACGTGTCTCGCTCACTGCCACTTCAGCTAAGCAATCCTTCGAGCAATGTCGGTTACTTTAGTTCTCCTGCGCATTTCCTTGCAGCAGCGCAGGGAGAACCAAGCATCGCTCTCTCCATTGCCCGCTGTGAAACCTTGAGCCTTCTTATGATACCCATAGTAAGATACAACACAAACTGGTCAAAGACTTTTGTCTTGAAACACTGAGGAAATTTCGACGCAAAGATTTCACGTAACTTCCCGAACGCTGCCCATCCGATTTGAATACGACGAGAATCCTCTTTCTCAAAATTGGACTTACCTAACTGGACTGTCTGTCTCAGGTAAACGTAATGGTCGACAACTTCGTGTGGAGTATTCCCAATTTTAACTGGAGTGGGTACAACATGGACATTCGACATAATTTTCGTCTTATCCGTGTTCATATTTAGACCTACTGTTTGGCAAACACTGCTGACATCTTCAAGCATTGTGTTCAGGTTTTCCAAGGTCTCAGCCATAAGTCCTACATCATCGGCAAAGCGAAGGTGTGTTAGGTACTAGCCATTGATGTTGATGCCACATCCTTTCGCAAGCAACGCAGCAGATAACAGTTTCGGAGAAATAACATCTCCCTGTCTCACGCCTCGTTGCAGTTGGATCGGATTAGAACTCTGATTTTGTAATCGGACTGACATAGTGGCGTTTTCGTAAAGGTAACTTAACAAACGATCGCCGTGATCGCCACGGTTGGCAGACGGGTTGGCGATCGCAGTATGACCATGGAAATAAGGGAGAAGACGATACTGCCCGTCTTCTGCTGGTTGTGTTCGCGTAGTCGCCTTCTACGACACCCATGGTACGAGATGGGGTGGTGCTATTTTAGGCCGACATACACGGCTGAGACTAACTAATATATACTAGAAGAATATTAACCACAGATCTTGATAGTTGGTAGCAAAGCAGTTTCAGCATTACCCGAATAGCAAAATGCACTGTTTCAAATCCAGTCTGACACCCTGCTAGGCTTTGAGTGAGTAAGAGCCTGTCCAGTCGCGCGTTGACACTCGCGCGTACCCGAGGTACTAGAGCTACATATAGCCCGTCCAGATGCCTACGTGCGTATCTTCACTCGCGCTTAAAACGCGTGCAATGAGCGGGACTCTCGACCCGCGCCATTCGAGATACTTGGGGCGCTGTGTCCAGAACCACGCGCGAGTCCGTTTGATTTAAAATCTTGAATATTTTCTAGTAATTCATCGAACGATGTTACTGACATCCGAAAGTAGTTAAAAAACATTTCACTGTGTTCTCTGAGCTTTGGATAGAATGTTATAAACATGCTATGCGTCATTCCGTCACGTAGAATTGGGTGCACGTTAAATCATCGACGTTCTCTTCGTTTACAATGTTTCCATCGAAGGTATGCAAGCCACAATACAACCGCTGTTTCCGAGTCCATGTTTGTAACTGGCTGGATCCTTCCCAACGTAGGAACGCGCGTAAAACGTTTCATCTAGACAGGCTCTTAGGGTGACCCAATGAGATCATTACTAATATCCATTTAATAAAACACACTTGTTTTATGAATGAGTTTTTATTAAAAGCAAATATCATCATCACTTTATTCATTGCCCAAGGACTACAGCATAAGCCAACACCAACTTAACAACCTATCACAAGGGAGGAATGCGTTCATATTAACATTTGCGATTGGAATCAGAATCAACAACATGCCTTCTGAATGATGAGGGCCTTATGAGCCCTTTTACAAAATTGCGCCGCTGCCGTACTGATCGCCGCGTAGGTTGATTTGCACTATTATATATGTCATTGCATTTTACAGGTGATGTTTCGAGTCTCATAAAATAATTATTAATGAACTAATTATAAAAATATATACATCTTTCAGTAATTCAATGAAGGTAGATTAGTTTATGATATTAATTCTATTTAATTCAATATCAAAATACGATGTAAACCTGCATTATTTTTTGGGAAAACTCATGGAGGTTAGATGTTTTTTTTAGATAATTAATGAGATGGAAAAATCAAAATTCTAATACATTATGTTACAACAAAAGCATATTTCTGATGTCGTAGTAATTAATTTGATCCAATTCATTGAACATTATTTAGAGATTGAGGCGTTTGAAGTTGTGCATATTATTGTTTTTTCCGTAAACTAGCTGCAGTAGAACAATCATCATCAAAGGAAAATAGTATTTGCAAATATTCTACATTAACTTACAATAGGATGAATAAATGTACTGTTTACTTCTATTGGAAATAGTCAAAATCTTAAGAGGGTAATCAAGATGCTCAAAAACAATTTATTGCAAAAAATGTGAAAAGGCTCTTTAAGTTAATAAAATTTCAGTCACCCTCCTGATACCAGGGATTGTTGAAGTTACTTATATTCTAATGCTTACACTAAAACCTCAAGAATAATGTTAAAAAAATATCAATAAATCACACTCCATACCCTGATAGTGTTTTGTTATTGTAAAAGCTACAGAATCAAAAGGCATTGTTTTTAGTATAGTTTTGTTTTTGTTGATTTTTTCAAAAATGACTGATTTATTTTGATAAAATTTTATGTGGAACCACTTTAGGCCCATTTTATAATAAACGAGGAATAAGCTTAGATTAGTTACGCTGTGGTTTGTTCATTTCACTTAAGTGCCATTCATAATATAATGAACAGAGACAAAACATAGAGTAACTAATCCAAGCTTATTCTTTGTTTATTAATAAGGGAGTGAGGGAATAACCTTGCGATTACAAAAATAAAAACATAAAGAACTGCTCCTTTTTGAAGTCTGTTGAAAATTACTTATTTACATAGCGATAGTATGTGATGAGTGTATGCATGTGCAGTTGTGCTTAAATTATAGTTAGTGTCTAAAGAAAGTTCTGCTAGAAAAAAATCCCACTTGGTCCAGACAACAGACAGGATTCAGACCGTCACCTTCCGCTATCCAGCTTGTCTGCTGTCTGAACCGAGTGTTTTTGTTCCTGGTAAAATTTTCTTTAAATTAATGAATCTAGTTGTTAAATATTGAAAATTATAACAATTAAGTATAATTTTTATTCGCAAAGCTGTGCAAGACATGGTTGTTACAGAAACAATATCTTAAATATTCTTTATGGATGAATGAATCCTTCTTATATTATAAATGTGAAAGATTTTAAGTTTCTGTTTGTATGTTTGTTACTCAATCACGCAATAACGGCTGAAGTGATTTGGATGAAATATGGTATATACATATATTTCATTTTATACCGTCAATGATCCAGAAACTTTATTAGTAGGTATAACAAAACAACAAAAGACAAAAGAGGAATATAAAATATAGCCTAATTAGGCTACTGACATCCCTACCGAAGGGTCAATCTAGGGGGCACAGCGATCAGGTCAATATCGGCTTGTCTCTACACTCATGATTGCTATTCAGTATTTGGGTATAAGTTGAGCTAAACACATGTGTTGATAATGACCCCAGTATTATTAAAAAGTTAAAAGATAAGTAGGAAGGGCCTTGGCGCTTTCTATGGTGTTAGCACAAAATAAGGAAATACTGGGTGAAGAATTGGCAACAGAAAGAAATTTATTGTAAATAAATAATGTTTGATTTTTTATCCCCCATGTGGGGACGGTCTTTATATACTTCTATTACTCAAGACCAAACTTCATGCTCATTATGACCTGCCTGCTGTAAAGTTGTGTTGATGCTTATACAACCCTGTTGCAGGAGACTCAAAATATTTATAACAAAGTATAGCTAGATATTTTAAATGATATTCTACCTACATACTACTGGGTTAATTAAACACCACCATAAAACCTAATAATGCATAATGTCAATTAATATAAATGTCTTATTAGCACAGGTAATATCTTTAAAGTAGCAGAAAATCTCTGGATGAATATTGCCCATTCTGATATTAAAACAAAGATATGAGTCAGCAAAATCAGTTCAACAGTAAAAACTATAATTGGCAAACGGCTAATCATAAATGTTTAAATTATACAATTTTACATATTTCTGTTTGACCTACTTACACAGTGTAAGTAATCATCTTGTTAATCTACTAATTAATGTGTATCTTCCTGAAGTTATCATTTTTTTTACTGAAATCAAAAGAGATTAATGTTTATCTTATATTCAGATGCAATAGATTACACAAACCGAATGCAGCAGTGGGCGTGTACTAATGAGTAATAACGAAAGAGCTAAAAATACTTGTTAGTGTAACTCACCAACTATAACGTTGACAGCATTATATTCCAATTGATTATCTATTTTCAAATTCAATTGAATTCTTGAAGAAACATGCGGAGTAGTAGAAAGCTGATGTTTCGATCTCCGTCTGTTAGCTTTTCAGTATCTTGTTGCTTCACGGAATTTAGGTTAGAAAAGTGGTTACAACCCGATCAAACTTCTTTAATGTATTCTATATATAACTCACGTTGTAATTTCATTATTTATGTTAACACTATACAACGATTCCATGGTTAAATAATAAATTAATAAGTAAAACAAAATAAAACTAGAATCCACTGCCTCCCATTCTCCCTCCTCGGAAAGAAATTAGACATAATCTCTGTAATCTGTGGAAAGAAATCTTTCACAGATAAGTAGGGAATCAAGTACAAAGAATCGATGCCTATACACGATACTTCTTAAGTATGATACCTGACGGTAGTATTTTTGCATTTGTTAATTTTTGAGACTATACTAAATTAAGGCTTAATACTTTTAAGTTTACTCGATAATAATGAGACTATTCATTGAATGGAGAACACAAAAGAGTCAAAGTGTTACACTTAAATGTATACCTAACATCAAAGTATAGACTATCTTTATTATATTGGTTTCTATTTCATGTAAATACATGCAGTATTAACGAAGTTATGACTGCTAGAAATTTATTCCTTATTTAAAATTTCTGAGAATTCGCGCGCTCCCTGTGTATGTAAGTCACTTGTCCCCAGTGGTGCATTCAATACCTAAGCTCTAAGTGTATTTTTTTACCCTTTTACGTTTCAGTTTTAACATAAAATGTATGAAGCTAATGTCAACTTTGACATTTATTGCGACGAGTGCCGTCATTGCATGTTCGCAGGCCACCCGTGTTTTTAATAATGTCGTGCGAAAATACAAAATACTAACTTATTTATCTCAGCCATTTTTTAAAATAAAATAATAGTAAAAATGCATTTATTCTTGTAATTTTTCATCTATCTTACTGCGACACATTTCTACATCGGTTTTTTAATATGAATAAAGAATCGATACTTTTGATTCGATACCATGTCAAATCCATACAGTTTTTTTTAAGAGAGAGGGACAATAGTGTCGATTCTGGCGTGATTCTCTAAACTTAAAGTTAAATTTAACATCAGTCTCTCCTTTTATAGAATTGGCATCAGTGTATATCTCTTTCTCTCTCCGTCTTTAATTTCACCCGGCAATATTTGAAAGTTCCAAATTGAAACATTGAAATGCTATGTAGGTATCCATAGAATAATAAATCTATGTAGGTATGTAATACCTACTGTCCGACAATAAATTCTTCTAAAAATGTTAAATAATCTAGGATGTGTATCTTACGCCCCATGTTGATTAGGATTAGGAAAGATAGAGAGAGAGAGAAAGAGAGAGAGCTTCAAAATAAGCCTAAAATCGTACGTAAAAGTATACGCATACATACCGTAGATGTACTTAGGGATTTGTGAAGATAAAGCGATAGGCTGACAATTTAATCACTGATTATTTCTACAAAAAACTTATTTCTCTTCATTACCTTAGCTAATGAAAGGAAATATATTATGTCAAGTTGCGATTTGGCTGCGAATTGCGATGCTCCAATGCCAGGCCAAGATGTAATTGCACTCGGCAGGGTCCTCTCAAACGTGGGGGGATCAGGAGATGCGTGCCGTCGACTGTACCACGGGGTGATACCATCGATGGCACTTTATGGAGCCCCGGTTTGGGCAGAGTGCCTCAAACCCCGCACGGTGGCCCTGCTGCGACGACCGCAGAGGACCATCGCGACCCGGGTCGTGCGAGCTTACCGCACGGTCAGCCACGGCGCCGTCTCCGCCTGCGTACCTGCAGGTATGACGCTGTGGGATCTCGATGCGCAGGTCCTGACAGTGCATCGAGGTCGGGTCGAAACCAGGGAGCGGGGTGAAAGACCTACCCCAGCAGAGCTGCGGAAAGGCCGTTCCATCGCGCAGGCAGAGGCCTTGCGGCGATGGGATGAGGCACTCGCCTATGTAAGCGCCGGCAACCGGACGATTGAGGCCATTCGTTTTCGTTTCGTGTTGGAGGAGTGGGTGGGTCGCCGGCGCGGCGGCCTCTCGTTCCGCATGGTGCAGGTACTGACCGGACACGGATGCTTCGGTCACTACCTGTACCGTGTTGCCCGTCGGGAGGAAACGCTGCAGTGTCATCACTGCGGTACCCCGGACGATACGGCCGAGCACACCTTGTTGGAGTGGTCGGCCTGGCGGCAGCAGCTTCGCGACCTGATTGCGGCGCTGGGAGGCGGAACCCTCTCGCTGCGGAGCATGGTAGAGGCCATGCTCAGTCCCCCTCTTGTAGTTCTGTCCTGCAAAGAGGAGGGCGGCGGAGGGAACTACACGGACACGCCAAGTAGTCTCCCGCAGCGGACGGGGGGCAGTAGGCCGCGTACTCAGCCCCCACGAGCGGGCCATCCTGCGCACGTCTGCGGGGTCCCCGCAATACCTCGGGAGACCCCTGCCGTGGAGCCCCGGCTAGGCCGGGAGGCTGTTGGGTGTGGAGAAGCGGAAGAATCCCTAAACGGGGATCCCACGGTTTCGCACTAAGCAGCTTGAGGGTATTCGCAGGGTTTTTTTAGCGGATATTGATATTATGCCGTAAATGTTATGTTGGATATTATATGTTATTTAATATTCTGCCTGTAAGAGTTACGGGGTCCTCAGTGGGCAGCTACTGTGGGGGCTGGTAAGGCTTGCGAGAGCCAGGTGTGAGGTTCGTTCGTCTGTAAACAGAGGTTTTGCCTGCGTCACAAAAAAAAGGCCAAGATGTAATAATTTAACAAAAACTAAAAACCAAGATAAAAACACCTATAAAACACACAACATATATCCGTACATATAACAAAAAGATAAAATATACTATATTATTATTATCATTTGAAAAATTCGCATATTCACATAAAAATAAAACAACATATTATTACATGATGGTTTTTAATACGATCTCTATTGGTGAGTAGAAAAAGCACCTGGAATGCTACTATTCGTCACTAGATGGCGTAACAAGTAATGTAATCTAGAAAGGACATTGCTCGTTCCCCATACATTGAATGCCCTAGAACGCACAGCAATGAGAAAATGCTAGTTGTGTTCGGAATCATTCATAAAGTCTAATTAGGCATTTGTTGAGATACGGACAACTTGAGGAACCGTGGCCTACTACAGAATGTATTACATTTGGAGGTTATAATTATTATACTTAATCGTAAAAGATGTACACTATATATTCTGAATAGATTTAGTGTTTACCTCTATGTAAGCACTTAAATAATATGCATTAAATGAACATAAAATGCATTTAATAAAAAAAAAACTTATATTCATATTGATTTATGAGTGTTGGTAGTTGGCACCTATGATACCTATACCTACCTGTTGTAATAATAGATTTCTTTTCAAATAAATGTTCAACGTCGTTCCATTTACCAGTTTCTATATTTTACTATCGGTAATAAGGTATGTACCTGGTTATCATTATGATTTTCATAAAAAAGCAGATATTATATGGAATGGGAGTATAAACTATCTTTACATAATTTCAGAAATAATCTTTTTATAAACTAGTGACAAGTATTATTAACTAAGGATAAACTAAGGTACCTAGTTCTATTCTTATGTAGATAAGTACTTATGGTCGCCTTTATTGCATCTATTAAGGTAAACAATCTTGGCACAACTTTTTAACAAAATCAACCATTTAATGATAAAATAATAACGAAGCCAATAAACTATTAAAATAAATTGTTATTATAGACTGAAACATATGGAATCCAGTTATCAGTACCCTTAGTACGAGTTTTACAATTACGCAACTATGATAGTTTTCGTGAGCTCGCACTCGTTGATGTTATTGTTTTCGTTTCAATACAAATAAAAAATGTTTAAATTCTATCATTAAATCATTTGTGTCTTCTTAAATTTTAAGTATATTTGGATACTTTTCACCAAAATGGACATAGAAACATAATTTACAATTACGAAAACTACTTATGATAGTTTTCGTGAGCTCAAACTCGTACTAAGGGTACAGTTGATTTTTAATGCTGTATTTTCAATAAAAAGGAGTGCCAAGATTGATTACCAAATAGGACAAGTTAGGGTGAACAGACTGTAGTATCTAGTAACAGAACTTTTTTTTTAAACAGATTGTCCGTTTACTATGATTAATTGCAAATAAATTAAAAAAATAATAGTGAAGGACATTCTTTTGGGCATGCTAGGGCCGATTTCGTCGATGTCCTTTAAATGTGGGTTCGTCATGCATATGGCCCGCCTAATGGTAAGATGCCACCTTAGCATCGCTAATATGTTAGGTGATTACTAATGATGTGAATTATTTGCTTTCCGCGCCGCAGCTCTGTCAAAATCGGCTACAGGCCAGCTAGATTAATTTGTTTTTAGTAAAAATAAAACCGAATATGCTAAAACAAATCCACTTAAATTAAGAAATATTTCTCAACATATACTCAAATCTGAATTATATTTCATGTGAAATAAATAATATTTGGAGTCTGTGCCTGCCAGCTAACCCAACCCAAGTAGTGAACCTATCTTTATATGGCTGTTGGCATGAAGGTTAAGAATATTTTATTAATTTTTTGTGGTTTTGTTTTTATGAAATCGGTTTTATTGATGTTACATCCTACTAATATTACAAGATATTATAAATATTAAAGTTTTGTATGTTTGTTACTCAATCACGCAATAACTACGGAACGGATTTGGATGAAATGTGGTATGCATGCATATAGTTAATGATCTCGGTTAAGACATTGAATAGTTTTTATCCCGGAAAAATATTAGGTTCCTGGGGATCTTCAAAAAACTAAAGTTAACGCGGACGAAGTCGTGCGCGGCCGCTAGTAAAAATTTGTAATAAAACACGTTTGCCGTGTAAAAGCCTCCAAAGATTATATAATCTCATAAAACACAGCGTTTGGGTGAAGAAAATGTCTTGTGATTCTGGTTAATCTGTGGTATATGGTGGTATATACAGGGTGGTCCAACTAGTGACGTCAACAAATTTTTTTTAGATTCCTCGCACCTGGGGGTATCCGAAAATACCCCATCAATGTTCCGCGATTTTTCTTAGTTTTCGAGTTTTATATTTTTTTTGTGTATTTTTAATGATTTCTACCACCGAGGTTTCAAAAATTCTTATCTTTTTTCGTAGTAGGTATTTTGCAGTCTTT